TATTTATGAAAATTTTAAATTTGTAGACTAGGAAACAATCAATGGGATACGAGTGTGGGTATTATGCAATGAAACACATGTTTAACACCGTCTCTACCGACATTGTTGATTCGTAAGATTAGGTATATATAATGTCATGAATGTTTACAATAACATATTAATGTTAAAGTAATTTGGTATTATAATTCAAATCATGTGATATTCAATTTTTCACTTGTTTATGTAGACGTTTAACGACATGAAATATTTCTCTCCTGATGACTTAGGATACGTCCGTAGACGTTGGACGTTTATTTTCAATGCGTTAGTTGATAAAGGGGGTGATATTGTATGATTTCTTCTTTGATGGTTGTAAATATATTTTTATTGCTTACTTCAATATTTTGCAAATATTTAGCTAATATATGCATAATATACAGGTAAAAAAATACATGTTTCTAATATATGGAAAAATAAAATAAAAAACAAGTATTTAATCACGATTGTTTATACCAACCGTTTTATAGATAAAGCACAAAATATTATAAACCATACAATAACTGGATATCGAACCCATGATCTTACACTTTATATCACAACGGTTGTATACTTTGATTATTGTGATATATAGCGCACTATCTAGTTTATCGCAACGGTCCTACGCTAGTGGTGGAAAGCATCATATATACAATCATATCTTATCTCACAACGGTTGGTTGGACGTGGTTGTATCTTTTTTCCAACCATTATGATAGGTGTTTTTCATAATAGTGTATGTATAGAGTTTAGTATCTAGTAGATGAAAAAAGTTGATCCAGGAAAGAAAATTATTTCTCAATTTCGATTCAAAATAATGAAAACATGTTCTAGTTAACTACGTTAAAACAAGCATTATACATGAAGATAATAATCAATATTAAAGCATAATCAGAGTAACATGAAATGCTATGATCAAGATTGATACATGAATATTCAAACAACTACATCTAATCTGAACAAAAGAGAAATTAATTATTCTTACTCACAATAGATGTATAATGACGATCTAGAAGAAAGAATTGGAATAACATTTGCGTCCATTTCTCAGAAAGCGTTTCCTTCTCCAACCTTTCATATTCCTTTATATTCAACTATCACTGAATTTCTGAAAAAGTAATGACTTGAATGGTTTTCAAGATGTTTTAATTAAATGGTTTGGAATGGTATTTATAAAGTTTTGCTAAGGCATTCTTGTTTAGCAAGCCTGATTTTCTTCCCCTATAAGTCATGTCCAGCTCATCTCTAAGTGGCTTTGGTCGCCATACTTCACTTAGCGCGACACCCTTTCTCGCATAGCAAACAAACTTTCTTCACTCTGAAGTAGCTTAGTCAAGAAGTCTCAGAACTCCCTTGTCTTGCTTAGCGAATATTTTTCTTCCTTGTGAAGTAATTTTGCTTTAAAATTTTCTTTGAACCACCATAAAACTCTGTGTTTCGCTTGGCTAGGAGATCCTAGAAAATTTCTGTCTTGTTTTTCACTTAACAGACTTTTATTTTGATTGATGTAATTATCTTTTTGGTTGGGCGATCCCCAGTGTCGCGTAGTGAGATCGTTGTCATTTTACTTGATAAATTTTGCGATTTTTTTTTATCATTCTCACATGTACTTATGAATAACATAGTTAAATAACACATAAACATTGTGATTTTGCATAATGATTAAACTAAACATAGAAGTTGATTAATTAAAAAAATGATGTTGTAATTATATATAAAAGTTTTTCATGAGATTACTTCTGATTTAAGTTAACAAGTATAGTTAGGTAAAATTAAAAAAAATTATTTATTAAAAAATGATCAAATATTATTTCCACGTTATAACCCATATAATTTTGTCATAATATTTATAAGTGTGAATATGAAAAAGTACCGACGAGTTTGACTAAAGAATTGAATGGATCGCAACAAACTAAAGTGTCAATATCCTTCTCCACATATCCAGCTATAGATTGTTATACACTCCCAATTCGTTTTTGCACGCGCAATTGCTATCATATCATAATAATCTAATTGTAAATCGTAAATAACCCCTTGGACCAAGAAAAAACAACAAAAACGTTGAGAAAATGAGAGATTCCAGAACGTGTAGCGTAGTGTAGTAAATGTAATGAAGGAGAAATGAAAGAAAAAAAAAAGAATTTAAGAATATGCTAAAACATTATTCTTGATCTGTGACTCTGTGCAATCAATTAGTTACTCCAGAGAACACGCAACAAAAATAACCCTAATTTCCTTACTCAACAACATTTATTATTTATATCGTCATTCCTATTATTATTTATTTATTTAAATATTTATATATATTATCCTCATCTAATAATAATAATCGATAGAAGCATTTCTGAATTACAAACAAAATCTCATCTCATAGAGAAAGGAAAGGGAAGTAACAACACAACACAACGCAACGCCCATTCGTATTCACATTGACTCTGCGTTTCTTTCTTGCAACAAACAAAACTCTCTTTATTTCTTCGCCGATTCCTTTTCTTCTTCCATTCCAGGTAAACAATCTTTCTTTCCCTTTTTCTATGCTATCGTTTTTTTTGTTTTAATTATTTTCAATTATTGTTAATTGTTCATGTTCAATTTCCGTTTTTTAGGATATAATCGAATACCCAATTCTTTGTTCACTTTGAATTTTAGGACTTGTTAGGGCTTGAATTCCAATTTTAATTCCAAGACTTGTTTGTTATTGCTTATGTATGTATGTATGGAGTGGTTTCTGAATCCAAAAACAAGGTCATGCGTTGTGGGTGTTTTTTTTTGGTTATGCTTGTTTGTCCCTGTTCTTTGCTTTATTATTGGTAGAACTGAGTTTGGTTTTTTTTTTGTTGGTTCTTAGTAAAGACATTTTTTAAAGGAGATTTGTGTGTTTTGGTTTTTGAATTATGTAGTGTGATACTGACAATTGGTGTTGTTTGTTCTTCTGTTGATTTTCTTTTGAAGTCTATGCTAGGCTTGTTATGAATGTCTTGCGTTGTTGTTGCACTTGGTTTACTTTTGGTTTTATTTGCTTGTGTTGAGGTGGGTTGCGAGTGGTTTTTATGGCCTTTTTGCATATGTTTCTGTGGAATTTATTGATGATTTTACAAATTAATGTTTCTTCTACATTTGCTTTTGCTTAAGAGTGTCTGCATCCTAATGTTCTTCTGAAGTCATTCTTGGGTTTTGAATTGACAAAGCAATTTGTTGCTTTATTTTGTGTGAAACATACGATCATTTTGCAATTTCAATGAAATAGGCAACTCTGACATGGGTTTTTCATTTATAATATCCTAGTTTATGCTTGTAAGGGCTGAGTTATTTGGGTTGGACCATTAGTTTTGGAGGTTTAATATTTTGAACCAACTCTTCCTTGACCCCCTTATTATGGAATTTTGCTGTGATGTGTCATGTATAAAGCTAAAGTTAATGCAGCCTAGAAAGGGTCTATATAATTGATAGTAAATAGGTCCAGGTATGTGATGCAACAGCTGTGTTGTTATAACCCACCCAAGGTGTCTGATACGTCAATCAGTGTTGTCAAATTGCAGTGCCATGGCCGCTATAGCGGATATTCATGGCAGTTTTTGGGCTCGCAGATATTGCGGGTTTTCTGCCATAATTCTCTATAACGGCGCTGCAAAGCGGCCGTATGGCGTGATTTTGACTGTCCGCCATCGACAACACTGACGTCAATTGGCACCTCCTTGAGAAAAAATGAAAAACAAAAAATTCAGGACTGTTTCTGGGCATGATTTAAGGATTAGACGCACCTAGTCAAATAACCCTTATAGAATCTATCATACCTCTATAGTTGTTGGAATGGCATGATTTGTGATTTGAATCACACGGTTTAATGCAATTCAGCAAGCCAATGATTTGCATCATGTGATGGATCGTAAATGGTTTTGTGAATTTCTGATAAAAAAACTATTATGCCAGCACTCGTGATAAGATGACAATTTGGGCAATTTGGGGAAAGGGACATATGGGGTTGGAGTTAAAGAGTCAAGAATTCAACTACCACCCTCCTCCTAATTAACAAAATAACAACCATTAAATAACATTTTCCTTTAAAATTCATTAAAAACAATATATAATTTATATCTATTTCGACAATTTTTTGTGCTTTTGAATCTTATGATTTGATATGGCATATGATTCAAAAAATTAGCTCCGTGACTCACATTATTAATTTGAGATTTTTTCCCTTCAATTTCCATAAGTATGAGCATGTTCAACTTTGAAGGCCAGACTAGTTGACCTGAGTAGTTATAGTTTCATTCAAGCAATTATTAGTAATTTTTTTAAGACGTGAATTGAAAAACAATATCTCTTTAAGTAATATGCTGCCTCAATCATCTGCGGGTTGCAGAAGATAGGTATACTGCGAATCATGATAGAACTTTAAAGGCTGTTAGAAAACACGAGACTGTTGCTGTGTGTAGGTGGTAGAAAGTATGAGACACTTTAGAAACCATTTTTGGCTTTACCATAAACTATCAGTTGTCTTCGATTGAGCGGTAGAACATAAGCTATTATGTAATGTCTACATGATAGCTTCTGAAATATTGCTTCCACCATTAGATGGAGGGATGGACCAGTGGTTTGAAATCCTCTGAGTCTTTGCGTGTGCTATTGTCTTGTTAGTTAATATGCACTATTCATAGATTGTATGCAATTTTTCGCCTTTTGTTATTATCCCTGCTGCTGTTTGATTCATTCAATGCAAAATATATTGTAGAGTTTGTATCTTATATTAAAATGAAGAAAATCTACTATGCTTTGTAAACAACAAATTTTCATTCGAACTGTGTACATGCTGATCTAGTGACCATGTTTTTCAAGTTATTTCTTCTAAAGTGTTGAATTTTAATTTTTTATTTCAAATTATTTACTGGATAAATATTGTGATTGCAGGTGGACCTTCCATAGTAGCGTGACATCAGTGGTGGAGATATAATAGACATAGATGTAGCAGTGGTTATAAATTTATAATGTCTGGACTGATTGAAGGACTTCCTGATGCTGTTGCAATAAGGTGTCTTGCACGTGTTCCCTTCTACCTCCACCCAAAGTTAGAGGTTGTCTCTCGTTCTTGGAAAGCAGCCATTCGTAGCCCAGAACTATTAAAAATCCGACAGGAGATTGCTTCATCTGAGGATCTCTTGTGTGTCTGTGCTTTTGATCCAGAGAACGTATGGCAACTGTATGACCCTCTAAGAGATATCTGGATTACCCTTCCCGTTCTTCCCTCAAAGATCAGGCACCTTGCTCACTTTGGTGCCGTATCTGTATCTGGAAAATTGTTTGTCATTGGTGGTGGAAGTGATGCTGTTGATCCATCAACCGGCGATCACGATGGCTGCTTTGCAACCGATGAAGTCTGGTCATATGACCCCATAATCCAGCAGTGGTCCCCTCGGGCTTCAATGCTTGTTCCCCGTTCTATGTTTGCATGCTGTGTTTTGAATGGAAAAATTGTTGTCGCCGGGGGATTCACTAGCTGTAGAAAGACAATATCTCAAGCAGAAATATATGACCCCGAGAAGGATTTTTGGACTCCAATCCCTGATCTTCATCGCACACATAATTCAGCCTGTTCCGGAATAGTGATTGGTGGAAAGATGCATGTACTGCACAAGGATATGTCAACAGTGCAAGTTTTAGACAACGCAGGGGCTAGATGGATTGTGGAGGACTGTGATTGGCTTCAAGGTCCAATGGCAGTAGTCCAGGATGCACTTTGTGTTATGAGCAATGGATTTATCATGAAGCAAGACAAAGAAGGGAAAAAGATTGTAAGTTCAGCAACAGATTTTAAACAGAGAATTGGGTTTGCAATGATTGGACTAGGCGATGATTTATACATGATAGGGGGTGTCATTGGACCTGACAGATGGAATTGGGATATCAAACCATTATCAAATGTTGATGTTCTAACACTTGGGAGTGAGAGACCAACTTGGCGCCAAACAGCTCCAATGACGCGGTGCCGTGGTACCATTGTTGGCTGTACAATTATGAAAATTTAGACCCTCCCTAGTTAGGATCCCATGTACTTTGTGCTCGAGGGTATTTGTGTTGATAACATGCGGTAACAAGGTGAGTTTTTTCTGTGCCTGTTCTGTTTGAAGCATAACCGCAGCTAGGTCCGTCACTAAGCAACCTCACTTTGCTATTTGTCATTTGGTGCTATGCAAATTTCATTAAAGATTGCTTCGCTGCATAAATCAACAATTTCATTTAGTTCTTTTCTTTAACTCTTTTGTGGAGGTATCTTAGGGGGATTATGTTCCAAAACATCATAATCTCATAATTTTGTTAATAGATGGAAATTAAATTTGGTTATGAGATGGATTTCATTCTTTCTTCTATCAATTATCATTCAAATGTGTTATAGTATGACCTAGGATAGTTTATGTAGGTTGCAAAATTTGAAAAAAAATGTGTTGCTTTATGATCTATTAACAGGTATCTTGTGGAATATGAGCATACATAAACATAAAAAATATTTATTTAAGAAATGATTGAGTTAATTGGTAACTTTAATTTTGTTACTAATAAACATTAAATTAAAGTTGTACCAGAAATCTAAAATATAGTCCTATGTTGTAAATGGCTTAGCGACATGATTAGGGAATTTTTTATCTTACTCTATAGTGTGAAAAAAAAAAAATATCTTATGAAAAATTCAAAATGTCTCTCAGATGCATTTTTAGACACATCTTTGTTTTAAGTCAAAATGTTAAACCTGATTTAGAGATGTATCTCCAAAATATTTTAACACACTCTACGCATTTATTTCTGAAAGGTTTATTTAAACATTTATTTATTCGGAGATGCATTTTTGTTTAGGGTATAAACAGTGCAATTTAAGTTAATTTTATGGTTACTCAAATGAAAATGATGATTTATAAATGTTTAAGATCTCTATTATGTGATTAACATTAAACCATATAATTGATATGCAAAAAATGACATAAATCCGGAGTCAAAATAAATTATCATTACATACACAATAAAGTCAAAATATACCATGAAGTCGAAATAAGAAAAATTAAATACAAATGAACATAATCCAAACTACAAATATTATCAACTACTGTGTATGCCGGACTCGAGCTCCCTGGCCTCCTTTGTCCCTAGTGTGTCGACGTTGTCTCTGATATATTAATGTCTCTCATGCCTCTGTCATAATGGCATTTAGGACCTCCCTCAACTCAAAACCATCAGGAAAGATACATTTGTCTACCTATCAGCAGAATCTCTACAATACGACGATATCTAGGCAACACATCATAAGCATGATCTAACCTAACATGCTCCTCCTCTAGTATCTCATGACGAGCTGACCTCGATAGATTTTCTAGAGCAGTCTGCACCATATATGGATGTGATACCCTGAAGAACTACTTGATGTACATGTCAACATAGCTCAAGTCGCACTTAGCTATGATAATCTGTGCCTCCTCCGGTAGCAAATGACTAAGATAATCATTAAACATGACATCCATATTTCTACGTATCATATCGGGAGGAGCAGAAACAATAAAGTGTCTGAAAATAGTCTGGATGTAGCCAAACTGACGCATGACGCGCTCAGGCAAATGAAGACCGATAAATATTATCGTCAAAAGTGTGATGCTTCCTGTCACCCACTTCATCTTTCACGTACAACTCTAAGATAACTTAGAGTAGAAGTAAACCAAATAAGCGCCCCCTAGTTGTACTCATGGATCCGCTCGAAGTATCGTAGGTAGAGGACATCCACATAAATGACACTATTGTCCACAAAAATGGCAATGCCAACCAAATATGACATGTATGCTTTCATAGCATATTATTTATGCTACCCTACTTGTTCGTCATCAGCTCTAGACTGTGTTGCTCTAACCAGCTCATTTGTATATACCTTTTTCAGGAAATTAAATCTAGCATGATCCCTTATGGTTTTTCAAACTCTCTTAAGACAACTTCTAGATCAACTCCTAGATAGTTTACCATCAACTAAACTGTCTCATCTTTGCTAATTCTTTCATGATCTAAAAGCTCTCCCCTAATCGAAAGATGCAGTAAACACGACACATCGCCGAGTGTGATAGACATCTCACCAAGTGGTAGATAAAATGATGAGGTCTTAATATGTCACCTATCTACAAATGCATTAAGCATCTCGTGGTTCACTGTAACATATCTGGTCTTGCATAAGTCCTTCATCCCAGAAAGCTATAAAGCAGCCTGAAACCATTCATCAGTAGGCTAATGCAAGCCAATAATCTTCCGCCCTGTAAAAAAATAAATCATCGTTAGAAACTTGTATGTAATATAATAATAAACGTGATTGAAAAAGAATGGATCCACCTAATTTTATCTCTCCGACCCATATATGTATGGAAGTATGATTCTGGTAAAGAGGCAGTAGTGACAACTCTAATGAGTCTCATCTAAATACCTCTACTGCCTTATCAGCCTGAGGTCCCTCCGGTGCCTAGGGTGGCACTGATGCCTCTAGTGACTCAGGTACCTTTATTGCCTGAGTAGGTAAAACTTATCGCCTACGGGAAGATGGAGGCAGTGATGCATCACTAGGTGACACACACCTCCCACGCGAAAAAGAATGTGCAGATATATAAGCCCAGAAGTTGACGTCTTGGCATCAACCGGGCGTGAGGGAACAAAAGCCTGCGAAACCTGACTCTTTTCTCTCCAAACAAATGCATGATGTGCAATCCTATTATGCCTCAATATGTCGTCTCTATCAGCCATAATGCTTGTAACTAAATCAGACAAATGTCACACAATTACTACAAGGAACCATACAAGCAAGATAATCAAAAAATGCAGACTGATAAAATACGGAGATGCATCTCCGGTTCCTGGAAATCCAAATGTTGAAAAAATCACGAATGACATCTTCGAATTTTTCTACAACTTTCATTTTCGTCAATGGCGCTAATGCATACCACAAAGACTCCAAAATAATGCATTTATAATTACTTTTAACTATAAAATATATTTCTCATAATGTATCAACTATCAAACATGCATAAACTATGTATATCAATACCTAATCATCAATTTTATAAATTTATATAAAAACTCAAAAAAGTTTATAATAATAAAAAACTTACAAAAAATGAGGAATTTTTGAAGTTGATGTAATTTAACGAACTCTTTGATGTAGTTGATGTTGATTGAAGAAGATTTGATGTTGCTTGATTGATTTTGAGACAATGTGATTTTAAGAGAGTTTTAGAGAAAAAAAATTATTTTTTTAACAAGCAAGGAAGAATAAGGGTTCTGGCACGTTATGTATAAGCAACGCCTGGAGATACATCTCAGTAATGTCAGACTTCTATTTACTTAGGGTGCATTCAGAGATGAATCTCCGAAATCTAGGGGTATTTTTTTATATTTTCACGTGGTGCCCTAGTAATACATATGATGTATTAAAAAATCCCCCACGATTAACCATTCAAAGGTTAAAGTGTTGCGCCTCAAGACTTAGCGACATCATACCAACACTCACGAATTGCCATTTAATTTATATTAATTTTATGGGAGACCACTTATAAGAGAAATAAAGGTAATCCCAACACTCACAAATTGCCATTTAATTTCTATTAATTTTGTTGGAGGCCATTTATAAGAGAAAGAAAGGTTTAACACACGGTGTTGAGTAGAGATGAATGAGGGTAAGATGAATGATGTTAGATGAATAAAGTTGAGATGAATGATTGTAGACTTGTTGGGACTAAAACAAATGATGACAGTGATGATGTGAGTTTTCATTATAACAGTGTTTTAGATGTTGCATTTGAAGACTCAGATGAAGATAGTGATAATTTTATGGAAAATGGTATGGAAAATTTGTAAGGTCATGCTAATAATACAAAGGTACTAGCAAAAAAACATAAACAAAAAGAAGGATTTTAATGAGAGTGAAAAAAATAGTGAGGAAAAGAAAGTGGGTGTGAAATGAATGAAGACAATGGATGTAATTAGAAGAAATATCCAATTTTCAAATTTCTAAAAAGTTAAGTGCAACAAGGAATGTCACATGCCTTACCACTAGGTTCAATTCATCTTAACCAAACAATAAGACAACTTAGATTTCTATGATAAGTGTAATGTTAAGTTAATTACTTGGTTTGTGTTTTTGGTTTGACTTTTGGTTTAGGATAAATTTAATGTTAAGTTTATGACTTGGTCTGTCATTTTGATGTATTGATTTATGTTTCACCAGACTTCCATCATTTTGATGTTGTTAATGAATGTTGCTAATTAAAAAATGATGGTTAATGTTTGTTAAATGATGTTGTCACTTCTGTTGAACAAGTGCAAAATTGATACATTAAAATCATGAAACAATACCATAATGATGCATCCAAATCAACTAAAATGAGTATACTATGTCAAATTTAGTATACTAGGTAAAACAAAGTATACCAGAATGATGCATCCAATTCAACTAAAAATTTCAGAGTACACCAAAAACATATATTAACAGGGACATAAACAAACATTAGTTCCATTTCATTCATCTTAAGAACCATTACAACATCAACTCAAAGATATAAATAAAAAGGTACAAAAATATAAACATAAATTCTATTTCATTCAATTGGAAACATTACGACATCAACGCATAACATAATTATACACTAATAATACTAAATTAAACTGTACATTAAAACATTTATAACTACAAAATATAAATTTTTTCAAAATTTATTACACTTTATTGCGTTCTTGAGAGTCACCTCAAGTTATTCAAACTTTTGCTTTTATGTATCATTATTGTCTTTTTATCTTTTAATTTTTCCTTCATATTGAACCAATTTATGATGTTGATCTTCATTTTATTTTGCTAAAATTTCCAACTTTTTTTTCTTCATGATAAATATGCCCTTATAATCTTTCGCTTCATAATGATACCAATCAAAATAGTCGCACCTAGTTTTAGTAGTCCCCCTGCTTAAATTCAGGAAAAAAATTCTATTGTGCCAAAATGAAATTGGTGAATAAGAAGAAATATCTTACCCTATAGTGTGGACATTCCAGAATTGCTTTCCAAAATTATTAACCATTGTAGCTCTTCTAAGTACATCGAAGTTACCACACCAACAATTAGGTGTTCATTACATCTTCGAAGAACATGAGTAAACCCTCAATTGAGAACTATTAGTGTCGTTTCCCCCATAGCCATACACTTTTTTAGTGGAGGACAAATATGTAAAAGGCATTCTTCTTAAACTTATATACATTATCTCCACCTATGATATTACTCCAAAGATTGCCACCCTTCGTTATCATCTTGCAATGTCATTTAACAAGGAAAGTCAAATTGACTACACAGTGATCTTTCACTCTTAAGCCACCCAACTTACGAAAGTTTTTAGGTTTAATATTTTTTTCGTCCTGTATCTCTTGGTCGGGGTTCATATTGGTCCCTTAATTTTAAAAACTGACCATTTAGGTTTCTCAACTTTACTAGTTGTCTCAAGTTTGTTCATGTTAAATATTTTAACGTTTCGTCCTTGTCAGTAAAACGTGACATCCAGGTCAGATCACATGTTACAAAACCCAGAATTTTTCGTGAAACTAGGGTTCCTTGCTTTCTTTTTTGGCCTTACTTTCTTCTTTAACCTTGCTTTCTTCTCCAACCTTGCTAAATCAAGGCATCTCCATTGCAAAAACATAAAAGAAGAATGCATTTTACAAATTCCCCCCCTCTCAAAAAGTGTATGGTTATGGGGGAAACGACACTAATAGTTCTCAATTGAGGGTTTACTCACCTTCTTCGAAGATGTAATGAACACCTAATTGTTGGTGTGGTAATTTAGATGTGCTTAGGTATATAAGTTCAAAACCAAATTACATTACAAATAATAAAATAAAACAATCTCAAAAAGTTTAATACATACATTTCAAATATTTTAAATAATAAATATAAAATCAAAATATCAAAATATTAACATATATTTAATATTCTAAATTTTCGCAACAAAATAATAAAGTTCATAATAAATAAACAGGGCGATTTTGAGATGGGTACTCTCCATTACCCGATCCATCCTAGATTTTGTAATTGAGAAAACCCCAAACCTGAACCTAAATCCAATCAAAATGGGGTTTTTCTATCAAATTTAAGATATGTTCGAGTGGGTACCCGCATGTACGAGTTATGTTGTCATACTTAATAGTTAAGTTCGAGTGGAACATGTGAAAATCTCGTAATAATATCATTTTTTGGGTGAAACTATAAATATGGAGAAATTAATAGACATGCTTAGTTTTTCTTGAAAATAGTTTATTGGGAAAACCATATGCTACTCTTGCACCTTTTATGAGTGATGACAAATCATGAATATTTTAAAAAAAGATTTAACCATAAAATTAATGACATCTAAAGTCTCTATAATGACCTATCATCTAAAATTTTCATGACATTTGTGAGATGAAAAGAAAGCATATAATTAGTCTTTATAATACAATTTCCAAATGACTTTGTACTTTCTTTTGTTGGAAATCGACTGGTTTATAAAGAGAGGCAGTATTGTAACCCGAAATTTGACCTCCCATTTTGCCTTTGCATGAACATGTGCATTCGCATCACTGGCATACGCATTCGCATGTTTTCTCTGTAATCTTTGTTGCAGGAACTTTCAGGTTCTTTGAGCTCGATTAATCACATCCTCCCAAAGATATAATATCATCAAAACAAGCATAAAATAAAGATTTTTATACCTATTCATCAGAGCAAGAGGTCGAGAATCAGAGTCATGACCACAACATCATTTTCAGGCAAAATTGGTAAGTTTTAGCCTGGTTAATCGATTAACCCTTGCGAAATTTGCAGAATCTGCTGCATTTTCAGGACATCAACTTCCACTTCTCATTTTTGGGGCCTACATTGTTCTAGCATTGTATGGAACATTCTAGATAACTCTAGACACTTCAAGACATTTCTAAACACTTAAAGGCATTTACTTCAATACATTAATTGGGATTGAGACCACCATGTTGTTTCATTTCCAAGCATGTGAGCCCTTAGATTCAAGTTTGCATTGTGATGGTTACCGAGTCAACTACCTAACTAACTGAGTTAACCTTCAACTCAGTGAGTTGAGGCTAACTAACTCCAAGGCTACATTCAAAGCTCACTCCGAACCTAGCAACTCCGAAGCAAAACTCTATATAAGCAAATCATCACCATTTCACAAGGGATCCAATCATTCTTCCAAGTGGAAGAATGATTGGATCCCTTGTGAAATGGTGATGATTTGCCTAATCTTCAACTCAGTGAGTTGCCTAATCTTTGATCACATGATTACGTGGTTTGTGATGCATGTTAATTGACTTTGGTACTGTTCTACACTTCCATTCTTGCTTGTATTGAGATTGTTCCTCTTTGGAATGAACTTAATCTTGTACAACAACACTTTCCCCTTTTGCTTTAATGATTTTTCATTTCTTTGGGAAATTGTCAGCACATCTTTGCCCTTTGATTAATTAATCAAAATTTCGTTTCGATTAGTCGATCTTCCCTTTTTCTCCTCCTTTGGATCTTTCTGAGTTTTTTCCTCTCTTATCCCCTGTGGAGTTGAAGATTCGCAACGCATTGGAGCACTGTAAAAATTTTGCGTTGTTGTGTTGTCCGTTTCGTTTTTTGCACCGCACTTTGGTGTTAGAGAAGGAATGAGAGTGGATAATTCCTAAACTTATTCGGGCTATTTTGGGTAGGGGACGAATGACCCTGTGCCTGGAATAGTCGCCTCTATCTCCATACTGTAGTTTCCCTGTTCCCCAGTCGAGTTGATCTTTAATCACTTGCACCCTTACCCCCTCTTTGGAAATAGCCTTCTCCTTATGTTTCCCTTTTCTCTTGTGACTAATCCGTCCTTGGTTTCCCTTGAGATTTGTTAATCAATTCCTTTTGCTTGGTTGATCAACCATCCTTTAAAAAAATTTCTATACTTTTCAATCAAAATCATGACACTAATATTTTGTTTTATTATTATTTTTAAAAACATACATTTTGCATCTTTCATTTTTTAAAAATAAAAACATATCTTGCATCGATAACAAAAAATACAAAAGCATTTTCATTTACGATAACATAACCACTAATTTATTAGTTGAATAAAAACAAATATTAATTGAAATATAATAAAGACGAAGAGAAATCACCATAAATACAATAAAAAAATAAGAATGGTTGTTAATTGTTATGATGATGAAAACAAAGGAGATGAGGAATGAAAAAAACTAAGAGAAAAAGAATAAAAAGAAAAGTGTCCACATTATATATAATTAATGCATTTTTTTATAATTAAATACTTAAAAGTGAAACAATATAATATACAATAAAAAAAAATTATCCGCCGATAATTCTTCATTTTTTAATATATTAATTATTTTACCAGATATAAAAAAAAGACATTTATTTTGATTTTTTTTTCATGGTAACAATATTTTTTACATGACTTACTAAGGTAATACTTTAGCAAAATGTAATACTCGGAGCATCGAAGTGAAGCGCCAAACCCTAACACGAAATTTGAAACCACGGTAGCGGCCACAATGGACGAAGAAGTTGCCGCAGAAACCAAAAAAGACACTGAAGTAGCACCGGCACTCATCGCCGTCCACCCAGACCGACACTCCGTTGCCGTAGCAGTTGGACCGGAGCTCCGCGTCTTTAACCTCCTGTAAGCTTACCTTTTCCCAACTCCATATTTTCATGACTCATATCAATCAAATTATTCATTCTCAGCATGCCTACAGTGGAAATTGTGCAGTTTCTTTACTCGACGACTCCGTCTCCGGTGAACAACCCTTTCATAAAGACAATATCAGAGCCATTCGATTCGGCGCTGAAGGAAAACTGTTCGTATCCGCCGGTGATGATAAAACCCTAAAAATTTGGTCGACGCAATCCTGGCATTGCGTTTCCACTGTTGCGTCGGAGAAGAGAGTTACTGCTGTTGCTATAAGTAACGACGGATTGCACGTGTGTTTTGCTGATAAATTCGGTCTAGTTTGGGTTGTGGATCTTAACCAAACTTCGCAGGATAAGAAACCGACGCCGACGCCACTTCTTTCTCATTATTGCAGTATCATCACTAGCTTGGTCAGTAGCTACTTATATTTGTTCCTGTTTTGTTAAACTTGTTATTTTGTGCTTATTTTTTTATTGAATTTGTGATTTCTGCAGGAGTTTTCGCCAGATAATCGGTTTATTATCAGTGCTGATAGGGATTTCAAAATTCGTGTAAGCTATTATTTCGATTGGTATAATGAGTAATACTGGTCGTTTGTAATTTGATTCTATTTTTTTTCTTCTTTTGTTTGTGTTTATATGTTCATTTCATATTACAGGTTACTAATTTTCCCAAGAATCTCTTAAATGGAGCTCACGAGATTCAGAGTTTTTGTCTCAGCCATACAGAGTAAGATTTGCTTTTATTAATCTTATATGTGTATGTATATGTATATCATTAATAAATGATCTAAATTGAGAACCATGATTTATATATTTTTTTTCATCATTATATCAAAATAACTTGTTAAGTATTACATTTTCCATATGGCAATGAGTCTCACCAAAAAATTACTAAGAGACGTCATACTATTTGAACTCTTTTGTTTACTGAAAATCTTGGGACTAAACCGGTCTCTTTTCATGTTCACCTGAATGGAAGTGTTGACTCCGTATTGGAATCATGTCCAAGATGTGTCCTCAACGTGTAGGAGCTAGGAAAAAATATTTTTATATTCTGACACCGTCACACCGGAATGGAGTGTCCAACGTATGAGTGTTGGACATCAGTGCATCTCAGATACTAAGATACACCTTCAATTCAACTTGAATTGTCAATTATAATTTTATTTTGGCATTTGATTGCAAGAAGAGTATATCAGATTGAGAGGAGTCAAACAACTAGAAGTAGAAGAAGACCTAGATAAACTATTAAGAAATATCTCAAGGTTAACAAATTGGATAGAAATTTGTTCCATGTACCCGACTTAACTAAGTGGAATAAGACTTGGTTGTTGTTGTTTGACATTTGATTGCAATTTATTTCAAATGATTACGTAAGGAGCATCTTATAAGAATTTTACAATTCCAGTTTTTGTCAGCTGGATTCTTTCCATATGTTCACTCTCCTCCTAAACAAATGAGTGATCATTTTTTGATTAAAGATAAGTGAAATGTCTCAGATTTTTAGATTTTTATATGTTGCCAATATCTATTTGCAGGTTTGTATCCTGCCTTGCCTTTGTTCCAGCTCAGGAAAGCCCTCACAGTCTTCTTCTATCTGGCAGTGGTGATTCCACAGTTAGTGATTCCTTAAACATTTCTTGATGACTCCAGCATCCTGTTTACTTTATAATTCTGTTTTAAAGTGAGAGTAACATATATTTCCTTCTGCAGGTACGATTGTGGGATATCTCTTCTGGATCACTCTTGGATACTTGTGAGGTTGCAATTAAGGTATTTTTATATTTCTTTGATGCTCAAATAGTTTGTATATCTTCTTTTTTCACCTTATTTTTAATGTTTTTTTGGAAACTATTACTGGACTAGTTACTTGTTACCATAAAATAAACTCTAGTGATTTCAAACAGGCTGATATATGTTACCTCTTGTTGTCACACTTGATGTTCACTTTCTCCTTCATCTTCTGTTTCCAAAGGCAGGGCTTCTAGAGTCCAATGGTAATGCAGAGGAGCATGATCATGCTATTACTGATTTATGTACCACCCTGGATGGTTTGCTTGTTGCGGTGGCCATTCAGAGGCAAGTCTCTCGCAATTGTATTCTGTCATATTTCTCTTCAGGAGAACTTAGTATGGTTTATTAACAAGTTTATTTGATATCACTGTAGCTTGCGTGGAATTGTATTGTTGAGTTGCAATGTTTCTGCCCAAACACTTTCTTTTGCCAAGGTATTGTCTCTGGCAACATTTGATTGAAATGATCATGGACTTTTATCATTACTTCCAATTTAGTTTGTCATATTTATCTCTAGGTGTCTATGTTTCTTGGCTGGTGTTTGCTCTTGCAAATCCTTTGGAATAAAAATACTCCTCTCAATGAAATATAAGCAATATTAATTCGTTTTTCTAGAATGAAATATAAACAAATGTCAACAACTTTTCTTCTTTTTAATGATAGTATCTCTTAAATATGCCCATCATTTAATGTATCCTTTTATGTTTCCAATGACTCAGTTTAGTATTAGCTAGTGGGTAATTTAGGCAATATACTTACCTTTTTTTATTGGGATTGTATAAATACAATGCGATAAACTAATTCTCTTGATCCATGCCATATTATCAATTTTTGCTTATAATTCATTCCGAAGAGTGTATTGATTTGGGAAAATATTTGTTTCCAGAAGCAGAAATTTATACTATTTGCAATACTGCAGGTTGTTTCTATTGCAGGAGAGACCTTTATCCCTACATGCCTGGCAAACAGCTCCACTTCAAAGGAATTGTGGATGGTTACAGGTGTCTCTAGTTTACCTGGTTATGATTACCCGTCTTTGGCTCGTGTCCTTGTAATTTCTGGTATTGATGTTGAGCAAGAGCCAGTTGTTCTTGAAGACGATAAGATTCCTGGGGGAGAAAAGCTGCTAGAAACATTACAAGGAACTACATCTGTTGATGGCAATGCTTTTCTGGCAGCAGCTGAAGCTGTCAAAGCAGCAATGTGTAACTTATTAATAAAGAAGCATTATCCTTTCGAGAATAGAGAATATAGAAAGAAAACCAGAAATGATAAAAAACTAAAGGAATAACTATATGCAATCAAATTTTGTTTTTATTAATTTATGTAGCATCTTAGTTCAGTTTTCTTGATTAAAAGTTCTCAAAGACTATATTCTAGACTTGTGTGTTATTTATTTTCTGATGAATGAGTATCTCCAAATGTTAAAACCATATATATTGCCATCAATTTTATGGCCAGCTTTTTTCCTTAGTCGAGTCTGAATCCCATGATGAATGTACTGGTACACAAATGCACCACACCTTGAGCAGATAAGTTTCACTGCAATATTGAGCTCCCTGGATGCTATTGGTTGTTAACATTTGGGTTTATGTTACTAGGTTCACTCACCTTTCTGCTGCCTGCATCTATGTTTGAAGCATGTTAAAGTCCCCTTTCTGGATCTGTCAGGATTGGAAGATAGTATGTGGCTAAATTAACTTACACGTTCAAAAGTGCTTATAAAAAAATCCAGATTTAGAATGAATGCATTCAAATATTGAAAAACTGGTTTTCAATAGAATCTAATCAAAAACATGAAACGCACACGCCCTGTAATTGGTAGTTAAAGGTTTATGATCATAAATATAGATCCCAACTTGTTAAAAATAATAATTTTGATTTGGTTTGATTGTACAATTTGTTTTTATGAAATCCAAACCATATTAATGACGAATCTGTTGGTTTGATTTAATCCAATCTGATTGATATTTTATAAAGAAATCATTATAGAATATTTATAAAAAGAATATTTTTCATACACTCGTCTACAAGGTTAAGTATTTTTCTAAGTATGATTTCAATGATTGAGTCATCGAGCACAATGCACAACCCCAATTATGCGTGGAGGAGTATTTGGAATTCAAAACTTGTGGTTCCAGATGGGTAAAAGTGGAGTATTGGATCGGAAGAGAATATTCTGATATGGGGTGAAAATTGGTTCAAAATTGGTTAATATGATAACACTTCATTGGATAATCTTTGGCCAATTAATCCGATTGTAGATAATCTAAAAGTTTTAGATCTGTCGAATAGTAATGCTAAATCGTAGAACTCAAATTTGATTTATACTCTTGTTGGAGGACGAAGAAGCAACAAAGATTCTCAATACTCCTTTGTTTGAAGTGGTTCACATGGATAAATTAGTGTGAAAATTTGTAAAGAATGGAAAGTTTCAATTCGCAGTGCTTATCGTTACTGTATAAAAATGCTATTGATACCTCCCATTTTAGAATTACTAAGAAGTAGGAGCTGCTTTGGAAAATAAAGACTTTCATAGGGTTAAAATTTCTTGTGACGTTTATGGATGAATTGTGTGCTAATCAGAATGCGATTAATAGACACAGACATTTAATGTCCTACTCATTGTGGTGTATGTGGTGAAGGAGTTGAAGATGTTAAACATTTACTTTTACATTGTCCAAAAAATATTGTCAGTTGGAAGAAAATGGATCAGTGGTCTATGTTGTATTAACAACTGAATGATAGCGCTTTATTGCTACAATAGTTTTTTTTTTCTTTCTTTTTTACAGGTCTTAAATCAAGATCAACAAATAATGTATTTAACCATCGTGTGGAGTATCGAATAATGTAGAAACAATCAAATCTAAAACCACATAGAAGACTCTCCGGACATTATTTATAGTCGTGCTTTTCATTTGTTATTAGGATGGAGGAATGTCCAACAACTTCGATCGAGCCATAATAACCAAATTCAAAGGTCTATGGATATTATGTGGAGCAAACCTTCATTTGGACATCTCAAATGCAACATTGACACATCATTCTCTAATAACAAGATAGAACTAGGTGTTTGCATTCGAGACGATAAAGGATATTTTGTTGTAGTTTGGATTGAGTGGTTTTTCCCTGTTATCAATGTCAATATAGAAAAAGCTTTAGATCTCTTGCCATCTATTAAATAGGTGCATGATCTTAATTTTAATAGTGTGGATTTTGAGCTGGATACTAAAAACATAACGCAGAATAATCAACAACCAAATACTTCTGATTTGAGTGTTGTTACTTATGACATGAGGTCAAACCATATATTCAAACTCTTTATTATCAATAATAATAAGACATTGTCTCTTGTAAAGAAAACCACCATTCTCATAAAACTAGCATGGTAGTTATCAATTGCAACGGTGAAACCATCCAAGCAGCTTACCTAAAATGAGAGGTAATTCCACTCATGAGATCATTAAATGAATGCATTTAAATGAATATCTTGATCAATCCCCTTTCTCTTTCTCGACTCTCACCAAAATCTATTTTTAGACCGTAAACTACTATTATATAGTACACGTCTGACTCAAAAATCATATTTAGTATATGCATTGACAACACATTTTTTTGATATTAATTCTTTTTGGATATTAAAATTTTAAAAAATCATTTGATTTTAAAGTTATTTCTAATAGTTTTTCATAAAAATTATTTGAGATATAATTTTTTGAAAAAAAATGCGATTTCGACTATATTTTAATCTTCAATCATGTATGTTTATGTTATAGGATGTCAAAATTATTGTTTCAATTTTAAAAAAATGAATATAATTTTTTTTGTAATATTTGAAAAAAAACTGTTTTATAAAATTTATTTTTAAAAATACTTTAAAAAAAAAACTAAAACAAAGCGGTCCTTAATTGTTTTAGCTTGAATCATGTATAATTGTTTTTTTCTATTATTATGATTGGTTAATACAAGCATCTACAAATCAACCATGCATTACTTAACGTGTTCATGTCCAGATAGTTGACCTAAGTTTTAGTTTGAATGGCGTGCGGTGTTTTACTTATCTATGTAACCATTGATTAATAAAATTTTCCAGAGTTAAGGAAAAAATTAGAAGAAGAATTCATTTTGAAAACCATCTATAATTAGAATAGTCAATTTAGGTGATTTTTAAAAATTGAAGTATAACTTAAAAGTTCTCTAAAATTTACGGATCTAAATATTTAGAAATAAATGAGTTCTAAACTATAAATATCATAAATTGAAGGGCACAAAATTAAAGTTAGGTTTCAAGGTCTAATTTTTTCGTCCCGATTTGTGATAGTTAGGTATGATGACTAATGATGATTTATAGTGGTCGAAGTGATGGTTAGAGTTGTAATTGATGGCGTTGACTTAAAGTCATATTGATGATTGTTGATGGTTAAAATGGTGGTTGAGGTAGTTAATATGGTGGATTGACCGTGGTCAGAGTGATAATTATATTAGAGATTATAAGGGGATAAAATAGTGATCATATGTGTGTTAACTCCTAAATTCGACACCTCTTGCAAGTTGAGATATCTAATAAAGTGGCATCAAAATCTCGCCGGAGATAAAAGCTGATCCAGGAAGTCCAAGGTCTACGAAGAAGTGTCGAGACATGTGGAAGGCTTTGGGAAAGCAATTACGAAACGTCGAAGGACCATGCTTCGACCGAGACGTTGTTTGATTGCTATCTTAAAGATTTGAAATTCAAATAAATTGGAGGGAGTAGTTTCAATCGCTAATGACTAAGATGACATATCACGACATGTGTCGGAGGATGATGGTTTGAGAAATTATTGTTAGTCATTTCTTCCATTATAAATAGGAGTTTTAGAGATTGAATTAAAGGTGTGTTGTAATTTACTTTTGTACAAGTCACTCCTATAATTACTCCAAGTATCCTTGTGTAGAGAAAGAGAGTATCAAGGAGAATGTACGTGATGTAAACACACCGTGTTTTACTTTTCAATGAAGTTTACTTTGTCTTTCACTTTTATTAAGTTTCTTTACCTTTTCGCCATGGTTTCTAGTTTTGACGCATTCTTACTTTACCTTTAACCTTTTTCCTTCTCCCAAAGATTTCTATTTCTTTCTATCTAAATTTCTATCTCCTTCCTCTCTTCAGTCTAATAAACAATTCTACCCTTAAGACTTTTCACCCAATATTGTCGAAGTATATAACTTAGGCAGATTCTAGAAAACAAAACCTTTTAGCACATGTCCTAGGATCAATCTGATCGATCCCGTGAGTCAACAAAGTTAGATTTGAAACATCAGCGGTTGTTTTCCGATTTTCAAGGGAAACAAGGTGGTAATCGAAATTGGTCGGTGGAAGTTGGTTGTATTCAAAGGTGGTTGTTGTGGTGCTTGGGATGGTTGAAATAATGTTTATATTACTGATTGGAGTGGTAGTTTGGGGTGATCAGTGGTAGTAGGTGGTTGTCATAGTAGTTGTTGAATAGAGACGATGATCATTGGTGGTGGTGTATTAACTTTAAAACAAAAATAGGAATTTCAATTTTTTTTGCTTTTAAGTTTTAGTGAAAAAAAGTTTTGAAATTAAGTAAATAAAAACTAAATCAACACTATTTTTGCCGATCAGATTTTAGTTTTTGTACTTGCTAAAAGTACAATGAGTGACAATCCCTTGTGGTATAGAGTTGTCAGTGGATTTTAGGATTGTCGTGATGTTAGAATAAACTCACGCAAGGATGGTGAAAAACTTTGTATATAGTGTTTTGTGAAAGAACTGAATGTCCCTATCAACCTCATGGAAGATGTATTTATAGTAATTTCTTGGGTCTGGATCTTATACTCAAAGGAAGTAGTAACAACATTTATTTCTCTTAGGAGCGTGAGGTATCAAGAGTTACTCGCTTGTTATTTCTCTTTGTACCACCTCTTGTAAGTTCTTTACAAATATACCAAAACATAAACCCTTAAGCACGAGAGCTTGTAAAGGGAGACATGATTTAATTTAATCGTCTCCCCTAATTTGGATGAGGACCTTAAGAATTCTTAAGATGAGTCCCTCAAGTGTACTTAGGGGGAGAGTCCCTCGTGCGTACTTGGGACGAGTTCCTCAAGTGTACCTGGGACGAGTCCCTCAAATGTACTTGGGGGTGAGTCCCTCAAGCGTGGTCTAGGATAAACCTCAAAATTTCAATGAGTTGAACCCTTAAATGTTCGTTGAAGTAAAACCCCTATAAACTTTCTCACTCTATACTCTCTCTCATTTTCACTAAATTTCTTTAGTGCTGTAAGAGT